ATTCATGGATTCATGGATTTATGGATTTAAGGATTCATGGATTCACATGGATTCACGGATATTCGAAAAATCCGCTTTAACTTCGAAGATTGATTTTAGATGTTTGTGGAGAAAGTATTATAGAATAGGATCCTGTTCACAGATCAGACGGAAAGAGTAGTATACGAACGTGGCAGAACGATATACGTACGCATTTGTAATTTATATAGTTTCATTACCATTCATTCCGGTTCGATTGAATTAACTTCGACTCGCGTGATGTAAGTACCGACAATGACTACATTTAAATGAGATGCTTATTTAATCGTATCATATACGTTTCAATGAAATACTTGTTTCTTCGTCACATTAATTTTCTCCTATGCAAACTTCATTCAGGTGACATCATACACCACTTTTGCATCGCATTCGTTAGGGCTGATCGTTATCGTTTCGCTGCAGATTCTATGCATTTATATTACAAAGATGGATGAAGAAAATATAAAACAACAGGTAGATCGAGAGAAATAATATATAATAATATATAATAAATAATATATAATAATATATAAATATCGTCGTATTATTTGTTACTTTCTTAAAATTATTAAAAGAAGAAATGAGATATTTGAATTCGATGCCTTGAAATTGATAGGAAATGTTTCTATTTTGCATAAGTATACTCAGCTGTTGTTTTTGTCTTCGTTGGAGAACAGCTTCCCAATAATTAAATATTTCACCTAGGGGATATTTTGTTGATATAATTGCGTTCGAATATTTCTGCGTGATTCAATGATCGCATACGAGATATTGTAGTTTCGAAGATTTTAATTTCAGCGAGCCTTTAAATATACAAATTCCGCAGTTCCGTACAATCGGCACGTTTATACGATAGAAAATGTTAATAATTAATAACACGTGCATATGTACCAATTCGTGTCATAAGTAAGTTCCGACGCGAGCGTACAAACAATGATTGAGTTATGACAGCGGTAATGGGAATGGTTAAGCGAAACGATAATTGTGAATGCTAATGGTAATCGAGAATGCAATATCAACGATCCCCAGTTATTAACCTTTTAGGCACGACGCGCCACTATAGTGGCTTGCTCTAGTAGCTCACCCGCTCATCGTTCGAACCAAATAATCGTCTTCATACGCATTGTTTCACGCTTCTTTTGTCTTCGCATCGATTTACAACAGTCTACAAGGTGTCCCAAAAATGTCTCGCAATCCGGAAATGGCGGGTTCCTCGGATCATTTGAAGCAACTTCTTCCTTTGCAAAAATGTTCTCCGAGGCACCGTTAACGAGTTATTAACGGAAAACAGTGACCAATAAGAATCGAGTACGGCTGACGCGAGGCGGCCCAGCCAACCAGCGCGCAAAGCCCGGTTCCGCTCATCGGCTCGATCGCCTCGCGCCAGCCGAGCTCGCCTCTCATTGGTCACCGTTTTTCGTTAATAACTCGTTAACGGTGCCTCGGAGAAAATTTTTGTAAAGGAAAAAGTTGCTTCGAATGGCCCGAGGAACCCGCCACTTTCGGATTGCGAGACATTTTTGGAACATCCTGTATATACAGTATCAGACTCTGCCGTCCAGAGAAATAGCCTCGCGCAGAATTCAGCCGTACCTAAAAGGTTAAGCAATTAGCATCGACGTGAGTTTGAAAAATGAAAACTCGCGCAATGTATATTAATTGCGAATTCTGTTTTCACAAGAACGCGTATACGTATCTTTCGCGGCGATTGCAATAGGGAATTGAATAATTCATACGCTCAAAGTTTTGCTCTGCGTGTTTCAAAGCGCAAGAAAAAAAGAAATAGTGATCGGCACGAGTGAATGGGAAAATCGGTCTCCGATTTGGACATCATTCCTGATCTCACTTGGACTCTGCAATGGAACGCAGATACGTGTAGCTCGGTTTATTTCGAATCGACCACTCGTTCTCATTCTTCTATTCCGTGATCGAATAAGTTGTTATGATCTCGCGAGCTTCGCTTTCCTCCCCAGACTGTGGCTTGTGTCTAAGAAAAAAAAAACATCGAGACACCGGAATGCAGTTTGAGAATAATTAATTACGCGGTTACGCATGAATATATATTCACCATTCATCAGTGCCAGGTGATATCTCATTTACCAGTGCTCCACTTCGCCGGTGAACAGATCGCTGTTTATTTATTGGCTTTCGTCACGTGCGTGGAATTGCCAATACTGTAAATTACGGCGGACTGCGAATAAAATACTGGACATGGAATTGATAGACTCGATCGAGCCACATTTTGCACGCGTTTCCTGAAGCGTCACAATTGTCTGGTTACGAAAACTGGTTCAGTGATTTGTTCACAACGATCGAAAAAGATCGTCAACTCCAAGAATTTCCAATTCAACACGTTGACATAACCTAACATTGGCCCAAAAAATTCCTATAAAATGAAGGCTATGTTATTGTCACGCGAAGTACAAAAAATGTTCTCCCCCAAAAGTTCTCCACAAAAGTAATTCAAATAACCATGATTGAAACTAGAGAATTTCAAATCGATCGTAGCGTGGTTTTGCCATCTAAAAAATCTTCGGTTTGGTCGAATAAATTGGTCGAATGAATAATGGATTTTGAAAACTACTCGAACGTCAGAAAACGACAAATGAAAAACCATAGAAAATTCGGAAAATCCTAGTTATATTTGGCCGATATATTACAATAAAAAAAAAAATTTCCAAAGCTAGTTAAAAATTAGTGTCAGACGTATGTGGAACTCGACGCGTTAATCCTCGACATTGCGACTCTTGCATGCGACATCCTGTTGTCAGTACGAAAAACACTGGTTTCGAGAGAGTCAGGATCTCCGGTGTTGTTTCCTTGTCCACATCGTTCCGGAATAATTCTGCAAACGATTGTCTAGTCTAAAAAAGAGGCGATAATCCGAAAAGCCAATATTGGGAGAATGAGGGATGTTTGCGCGAGTTCACTAAAGTTTGACATGTAACAGTTCACGTTAAACGATTCCGTTATGCACATTATTAGGTGCGCACCCTCTGCCGATGTACCGGGTGTCGCGGTATTTATCGAACGATCAGGGATGAGACAACGCTGCGTGAAAAAATGTAAAATTCTGAAAATTTGGAACAAAATGTTCTCCTACATTTTATGAAAGGTGACGCTAATGTTTCGAAATTATGCACGCTGTATTGATTTAAGTGCCACCTAACGGTCACGTGTTCGTGCAGAGTTCACCGATTCGATGCCGCTTCGTGTTTCGGTGTCTTCGAAACGCACCGTTCTCTTTAATAATTTTCTAGCATCGAGGTCACCGCTCCGTGGATACTGCTGCAAAAGATTACTAATAATAAGAAAGGTGGTAATTGTGCAAATCAGAGTCCGGCTCACGTGATTCGAATAAATACGAAGATATAAATACAGTGTGAACCCGGTGTGCTTAAAAAATTGGCGGCACGTCAATTAAAGAATGGCGACACGTGTGTTTTGCGAAAATACATTATGTATAAACTATTACGCAGAATAATTATGCGAATGAATCATTATGGAACTTCGGTAGAGAAGTCGCGTGTAATTGAGAAGAACAAATACTACAAGTTATTTTGCAGCCAGTGTGGAATGACATTCGGTAGTCTTCCAAAGGAGACTGTATCTTTTTTTTATTGCTCGCAAAGTAGTCATCGTCTCTCTGCGAGCATCAATTTTCAGGGAGCCGTCGCGAACGCGTAGTTTTAATTTTTTGAAATTTCTAGTAGATACGAGATATCTAGTATCTACTACAGTTGCAAAACAATAGAACGTTTTCTTTATATATATATATACGTTTCACGCTTACACCGATCGCTCTTGTATAGGGTTGGCAACTAAGTAATTGCCGATTTGTTCAACGAAATAAAAGAATTTTTTTTACTTGGAACGAAGTTTAATCTGTAATGTATTTTCCATTTTGTTCGACGACCTTTTGCCATCTCTCCGACAACTTGAAAATTCCACGCTCGTAGAAAGTCTGATCCTTTTCGGCCAAAAACTGAGTTAAGTGAGATTTTACAGCGTCGTCGTCGTTCAAAGTTTTACCACGAAGGGAGTTGTCCAGGGATCGAAATAAGTGGCAATCCGATGGCGCGAGATCAGGGCTATATGGTGGGTGTAACATCAATTCCCAACCAATATCCATGAATTTTTGCCGAGCGGACAAAGACGTGTGCGGCCTAGCATTGTCCTGCTGGAAAATGACACCTT